TAAGCTAGAAAGATGTATAAAAAACCAGTAAGTTGCTGACACTGTCTAGCAGGATCTGTATTGAACCTACATTTGACCCGAGTCTCAGTAACAGGTCACCAATAGGAGATGGCAGCTTAGAAACCGTGGCAAATGGACTGCTTTTCCTGGTAGTGCCCCGTCAGCTCCCTGAACACTCACTGCTGCTGCTCAGTGGAAGATTCCTCCTGGGGAACGCTGTAAGGATGCAACCTACCAGGAGAAACTCATTCTGGAGACAAATTTCCAGGGGGAAGAGAAAATCACAGACTACAGTCTCTCTCCCTGCATTACCTGTACCACACCTGCCAAGCCCTTGCAGTGGGTTTGCCGTTCTTGGAGCAGTTCGATGCGATGGACACAGGTACACTATTTCCTCTGAACTTACTCAAAGCCAAAGGCTAGGGCGGCTTTCTCAGGATTCCAGGACAAACTGCCTCCTGGCTCCCGTAATTTCTGCCACGGCAGAGTTGACTTCTTGCTGTTAGGTAGGTGTTGAGTAGAGTGGCCCGTACGGGTTTTCTAGGCTGCAGTTTTTAGAGAGGTAGGTCTCCAAGTCTCTCCTTCTGTGGAGCCACTGGGTGGATTCAAACTGCCAGCCAAGAGGCCGGCAATCCAGGTTTGAGTCCCAGAGGCACTTAGAAAACAAACTTGGCATTCTGCTTCTGAACCATCACAGCTCTACTCTGCCCATGTCAGGTCCCCAGGCGTTGAGCTACCTCAATGGTAAGCAGCAACAGCAACTGCCAGCTGCCCTTCACTCATCGATCGCTGCAGGAGGCAAACCCGGGTTTGACCTGCACCTTAATAAGCACACTACTGATCTTTTGTCAGATTGATTCAGGTTTCAATCAAAAACCAAACTCACTGCCATCAAGTCAGTTCTGACTCATAACGACCCTATAGGTCAAGGTGGAGCAGCCCTAGTGGATTTCCGAGACGGTAACTCTTTACAGGAGTTGAAAGCCTCACTATTGCTATGGAAGATGGAAGGCAAAAAAAGCCTCGGCACTGAGAAAGAATTCGGGTGAACTGAGAAGAACCTTGGTACAGAGAAGCATACCTTAAGAAAACAATGGTGCAGAGGTCTTTGAAGTCAGTGAGAACCCCTGAGAAGCAGAGCTCTCAGGGAACTGCAGTTAATGTGCCTAATGACCTAACCTGCTATTCACACCGCACTTTCACATCTCGGTGTCACAGCGAGAAATCTGTTCATTTTCTAGGAAGCATTTTAATGAGTCTTTGGGTAAGCAACTGAATAGCAACAGCCAAAATGCTTTTATACATCAGATTTCTTTTTTCCTTCACATAGCTGTTGCATACAGGAAAATATAATCTTCTAGCACACACAAGTGGTCCGTTTCTCTCCCCTGGGACCCAGGACTTGGCTTTGTTTTTAAAGTGCTGCCTGTTAATGGCTGCAGGACGAAGCATGCCCTCCCGGCACTGCCTATGTATAGTCAGAGATATATAGGGTAACTTATTTTTTGCTTAAAACAATTTTAAAA